GTGATGAACGTAAAGGAAAAGGCAGAAAGTGGTGTGGTGTTTGTAAGAAAGAAAATCATACCAAAGCCGATTGTTGGAAGAAACAAAATAAGGGAGACCAACATAAGAATCCAAAGAACAAGAGAGAGTGTTACAACTGTGGAAAGATTGGACAGTGGGTGTACAAATCATATGACGAAAGAAGTGAAACATTTCAGAAAACTTGATAGAAGTATCAAAGTTCCCATAAAAGTTGTAAACGGAGACGTCGTAATGACATCAGGAAAGGGGGACAACTATGTCATGACAGTCAAAGAAAGAAGAGTGATCAAGGATGTATTTCTGGTACCCGGATTGGCCAAGAATTTTCTTAGTGTTCCACAAATCATATCTCGTGGATATCGCGTCTTGTTCGAAAACAAAACGCTGCATAATTTAAGATCCAAGAGGGAAGTTACAGAAATACAAATGATTCATAAGAGTTTTCCAATTAAATGGAATACTTCTCAAGAGAGTCCAATGATTAGCCGTGAAGAAGAAGTGATGGAGTTATGGCATAGAAGATTTAGCCATGTGGGTAACTCAAGACTACAACTTATGCAAAATAAAGAGATGGTAAATGGCTTACCAAAATTCTCTCTGAACAAAGAAGTGTGTGGAGCCTGTAAAATTGGAAAGCAAACAAGAGATGCGTTTCCTAAGGAGTCTCAAACCAAAACAAAGGAAAAACTTGAGATCGTTCACACTGACGTTTGTAGACCAATGCAAACTGACTCTCTTGATGGAAGCCGGTACTTCTTATTGTTTGTGGATGACTATAGCCACATGTCTTGGATATTATTTCTGAAGCACAAGTCTGAAGTGTTTCTGATGTTTAAAAAGTTCAAAGCTTTAGTTGAGAACCAATCAGGATGTAAGATAAAGAAGTTTTGATCCGATGGTGGTGGCGAATTTACTTCAAGTGAATTCAACAAATTCTGTCAAGAATTTGGTATCGAGAGACAAGTTACAGTGTCATATTCGCCTCAACAAAACGATGTAGCGGAACGTAAAAATCAATCATTGGTGGAAATGGCACGAACCATGATAACAAACCAAGGGCTACCATATAAATTTTGAGAAGAAGCTGTGTACACATCAGTCTATTTACAGAACCGTCTACCACCAAAAGAAATAGAAGAAAACATCACGCCTATTGAAATGTGGAGTGGGCATAAACCAACAGTTGGTCATTTGAATATTTTTGGAAGTGTATGCTTTGTACACGTACCTACTGAGAAAAGAAGAAAATTAGAAAACAAAGCTAAGCGTGGAATTTTTATTGGCTATAGCAGCTAATCAAAAGGTTACAGAATACTAATCTTAGGAAATGAAAAAAAAAATTGAAATATCAAGAGACGTGTCTTTCGATGAAAGAAAGAAGTGGGATTGGGATAAACAACAAGAAGTCAAAAAAAAAAAAAAAATTTGTGTTATCCCTAAATAAAATTCTCTACAAACTGAGAAAAATCAAAACCTTTACAATCCAGTCCATTCTCAACTTGGCGATCAAAACCCAAATGAAGATGAAGAAGAAGGATCTTCTCCACTACCAAAGAAATACAAGTCCATGACTGAGATTATACAAATTGCACCAAGGGTGGATCTAAAAGAAGCAGCTCAACAAATGAAGCATGCTTTCATACGTTGGAGGAACCACAAACGTATGATGAAGCCTCAGAGATAAAAGAATGGAGAGAAGCCATGGAAGAGGAAATAAAGATGATAGAAAAGAATGGAACATGGCTACTTGTAGACAATCCGGTGAAGAAGAATGTCATTGGTGTAAAATGGATATACCGTATTAAGACTGATGCAAAAGGAAATTCCACCAAATACAAGGCGAGATTAGTAGTGAAAGGATTCTCTCAAGAATATGGTGTTGATTATCTTGAAACGTTTTCACTGGTTTCGAGACATGACACTATACGAGCTATACTTGCTCTTGCAGCACAAATGAAGTGGGGACTTTATCAAATGGATGTAAAGTCAGCGTTCCTCAATGGAGAACTTGAAGAAGAGATTTATGTGGAATAACCACCTGGATTCATATCCGAAGGTGAAGAATACAAAGTTTTAATGCTGCACAAAGCATTGTACGGCTTAAAGCAAGCCCCTCTGACTTGGTATGGGAGAATTGATTCATATTTTCACAAAAAAAAATGGATTTCAAAGGAGCATGAACGATGCACCAATGTACGTGATGAAGAAAGATAAAAATCTGGTGGTGGTGAGTTTGTATGTGGATGACATAATAATCACCGGAAATAATTCTCGCCTCATTGAAAAGTTTAAAGAAGACATGAAGCTAGAGTTCGAGATGACAGATTTGGGTATGTTAAATTATTTTCTCGGTATGGAAATAATCCAAGATGATCGTGGAATTTTTATCTCGCAAGAAAAATATTCATGCAAGCTTGTTGAGAAGTATGGAATGAAGGATTGTAAGAGTGTGCGTACTCCACTTTCACCACATGGAAAGAATGTGGGAGACGATGAAGAATATGGAGAACCAAAAAAGTACTGAAGCATAGTTGGTGGTTTGTTGTACTTATGTACATCAAGGCCTGATATTATGTTTGCAAGTTCATATCTCTCACGTTACATGTCTTCACCACTCACAAAGCATTACCAAGAAGCAAAAGAGTTCTAAGGTATATTAAAGGGACATCTCATTATGGAGTTCAGCTTACAAGCGTCAACAATCCAGAGTTATGTGGTTATTCAGACAGTGACTGGGGTGGCTCAAATGAAGACAAAAAGAGCACATCTGGATACGTATTTACACTTGGGTCTGCTGTGTTTAGTTGGCAATAAAGTAAACAAAAAGCAGTGGCACAGTCTACCGCAGAGGCGGAATATATTGCCGTATGTGCGGCGGCAAATCAAGTCATTTGGTTACAAAGATTATTGGGTGGAATTGGTTTAACATTGAAGCTGGTGTCTCAGTTTACTGTGATAACAAGTCAGCGATTGCGGTAGGTAAAAATCCAGTGTAACATCGAAGAAGAAAGCACATCAAGATTAAGTATCATTTTGTACGTGAGGCAGAACACAAAAGTCTTATCCAACTCAACTATTGCCAAGGAGAGGTTCAGCTTGCTGATTTGCTTACAAAAGCACTTAGCACTACAAGGTTTGAAGAATTGCGAAGAAAGCTTGGAATTGGAGAGAAACTCAATTAAGGAGAAGTGTTAGTTTGTAATTGAGTTCTTAGTCGCATGTTATTTAGTTATTAAGTAAGTTATAATGTTATATTAAAAAGTGTGTGTAAGGATCGTGACTTTAGATTGGAGAGTTGTGTCTCTTATTCCAAAAGTCACAATGTTTAGACAAGTATTGTCAAACCTATATAAGTATATGTGTGTTGTCTGAATAAAATAACAAGTTCTAGTCATACTCTGTTTTTGTTAGTAAAAACGGAGTACAACGATTACAGACGTAATTTGTATTCTTTCTATTTCACAAGTAAAACTTTTGTTCTGTTGTGCAAGAAAAAACAATTTCTTCTAACAAAAGTAAGCACATCCTAATAAGCACGAGAACCACAAGCTAGTTTCAGAATCCATCGAAAGCAAGCCACAAAGAGCTTAAACCCAAACTACCAAAAACGCGAGGAAGACTATATATAGCAACCATGAGACGCCTTAAAAGAAGCAAATCGAAAGAGAGACCACAATCCATTCTCATAAGAAAAAGCCAGGAAGAGAATCTATCCACGCTGGACAAACCCATCTTAAGGATCAGGACAAACCCATCTCAAGAATCAAGCGAGAAGGAGATCAGAACCGGAGCGAAAAAGAGGACATGCAAGTAGAGATGGCAATTGGGCTCTCCCATCCCGTCCCATTCTGGACCGCTGCAGGTTCGTCTTCTAGCGGGACGCGGCGGGCCTGTCCCACGCAGGATGCGGTCTTAAAAACAACTGCCCAGTCCTATACTATATTTTTTGTGCGCTTTCGCGTGCCGTCCCACGGGACATGTGATAATACGCGCAGTAGAACGATTCAGGCCACTCCAAAACGCTTCAGGTCATTCTAGGACATAGCTCAAGTCATCGCTTCAACTGGACATAATTCATCAATCATTGCTTTACTTATTGTTTATTCAAAATAATAATTGTAATTATTTGTATCACACCCATAACATATTAACATACAAAGTAAAAATAATTGCATAATATATTTTTCATTATCTTATAATTCATAAGTTCATAACCAATGTTTAAGTTTGTTGAATCCAAAAATTAAATAAAATGAAACACCAAATCAAAAATGTTAATCCCAAATTAAATAAAAAGAGAAACCAAATTAAAACACTACTAAAGCTCGAATCGTCATCGCTAGAGCTATAGTCGTCATCACCGGAGTTCGAATCATTATCACCGAAACTTGAGTCATTATCATCACCCGAGCTCTTTACGTTTTCTCAGGGGAAGTCACATGAGTCATTTTCTTCTCGCTCATTCTTTGATTTTTTCGGGTAAAAGAAAAAAAAATGCGGGTCTTTGTAATCCCATGGTCCCGTTTCGGCCCATCCCGCAAAAGATCCAGTCTCGCAAAGATCCATCCCGCGAGGCCCGTAAATTTGCAAGCCTAGAAAATCTCATCCCAATACCGTTCTGCAACATTTTTTACGGGGTAAATCCGCGATCCAAATCAATAATTATCATCTCTATGCAAGGAGACCGTTTGTCCTTCTGAGGAAGGACCACCAAAATTCAGACAACCTATAACAAAAAAAAAAAAACAAAATTAACCTTGCGCAAAAAAACAATTTACAAAAACTAAGAGGGAGAAAGAAAATGAGATGGGTCCATGACACCTCACTTTTTAAAGTCTTTTTAATTTGTCGTCGCACGACACAACCAAACAACATTACACATTATTCACATCGGCAACTTCCACTCTTCTTCTTATTCTCTTTCAACAAGTCTCTCTCTCTCTCCCTCATAGTCATATACACACAAAGGCGTAACATTAATGGAGGTCTCATCAACATCATCCATGTGTTCAAAAGCAGAACAAATCATGCAAAACTCCACTCCCATAATCTCATCTCCTAGGTTTCAGCCTCAGACAAGATCTCCTCATCATCAGCATGAGCAGCATCAACATCTTGCAAATCCTTATCCTACGACATTTGTTCAAGCAGACACTTCCACTTTCAAACAAGTCGTGCAGATGCTCACTGGCTCCTCCACCGATACCAACACTGGAAACAATCACGAACCTCCTTCTACGGTGAACAACAACAATAACAAAGGAGGCTTCTCAATCCCACCCATCAAGAAAACCAGCAGCTTTAAACTCTACGAAAGGAGACAAAACAATAACAACATGTTTGGTAAGAATGATTTAATGATCAATACTTTAAGGCTTCAAAACTCTCAGAGGTTGATGTTCCCAAGCGGAAACAATGGTCATCATCAAAGCCCAAGATTCTCTCCAAGGAAAATTTCATCTGAGAATGTTCTTCTTTCTCCAAGCATGTTAGATTTCCCGAAGCTAGGGCTAAACAGTCCCGTTACGCCGCTAAGAAGCAACGATGACCCCTTCAACAAGTCATCGCCTATGTCTTTAGGGAGTTCATCTGAAGAAGACAAAGCCATTGCTGAAAAAGGATTTTATCTTCATCCTTCTCCAGTTTCAACTCCTAGAGACTCTCAGCCACTGCTTCTTCCTCTTTTTCCGGTTACTTCTCCGAGGAATCCATAAATCCTGACGATGTGTTCACATTCTATAATAAGTTAAATATTTCACTGGATTTTGTTTAGCTATAACTAAGATATATAAGTTTATGCAGTTTATGTGTTCACTTTTAATTTGAAAAAGTTGTTGCAGTTTATGTAATTGGAAGGTAGATATATCCATGAATCATGATACTGATTTAAGACACTATTCATTTTTAATGAAAAAAAATCGTTTATAGTTGTGCTCATATGGATATATATGCTGGTGTAATTCAACGTGTGCCACTCAGTATAGAGATCGAATATAGAGAATAAATTCACGTCTATGCTCAACTTTATGATAGACTTAAAATTCCTACAATTATGTCAAAATTTCATATCTTAATTTCAGTATCAAAATTTAGATGGTTGCGATTGGAAAAACATGAGTAGAACGAGTGGTCTTTGTCAATAAGTATTTATCGGAAGTTTGACTAGTAATATGAAAATATCTGTATAATATCCAATAATAGTAGAAAGATTCAAAGAGACAATATGAAATAGAGACTTCCATATATGACCAGGGTCGAAACGTAGTATAGACATTCCGGTGTGATGACTTTGAATTTGATGGAGTAATCATGGAGGCACGTTTGGTCTTTTACTACATTTCTTTGGACTTTCTCCCCTTTTGTCTATAATATTTCGACTTTTTATTAAAGAAAAGAAAAAGAAATAGGTATATGTTAATACTGTTCTTCTGTTGCTTTGTCTTTTGTCTTGGAAGGAAAATAAATGTTTTGAAGGTAAATGAATTTAAATATAATAAAAGTTGGAGAGAAAGAGTAAAAGACAAAATAAGTAGTCCGTTATGATGAGAGTTGAAAACCAAGCAAAAGGCGAATGAATCATCTTTGCTTCACGTTACAAGCAACTCCACTTTGAATGTGCTACCCTTTTCAACTTACAGTATCTGAAAATTACGATATTTGCATATACATTTTTAGATATGCGACCAAACAGCTTATATCTTATTTTTGAATATTATCACCGCAAATCAAACCAAGTTGATGTCAACGTTCTACATAATTAGTCACTCGTATAATACAGTTTATATCTTTTTTTAATGAATAACCGAACAATTGTAATATATACTTTTGGGCTTATTGTTCTTTTATCCAGTTTTATAAATCCATATTAAATACTAATCAACTAGTACTCATTACATTTGTTTTTCTTTTGTCAAACTTTTTTATTAACAAAAAAAATGTTAGAGAAAGGAGAGACAATGCAAAAGACCGTTATAAATTTAGTGTCCCTTTTAATTTTAAAAACTATATCTACTATATTAAAATAGAGTCATTCTTTTTATCTACTGATATAAGTTGTCATTTAAATTTGGACCATTTCTAGAATGTTACAAATAATATAAGTCATATAATTGATTGAACCGTATTACTTAAATTAAACCAATACAATTAATGTAAAGAGACGACCTTAATGTAAACTACCTTTAAAATATGGCAGGTATCTATGTGTATACCGAAAACATATATTTTCTCCTACAAATATGTAATATTCTAAAAGAATATATATATCATCAAAATATGGAATATGGAAATCTGCTAATTATATTTAAATTAAACCAGTGGTTATTTATGAAATATAGTCTTGGGCTTACTTTTATTTTTTGAACAAATTATATAGTTTGATTTTTGGGCTTAGTATTAAGAAAACAACTCTAAAAACATTGAATAAACTTTTCACCTTAAAAGATCAAAAAATCAATTATTATTTTCAGACCCAAAAGTATTTAATATTTTTACCAAAACAAAATTATCTATTATTAATCATTTATTTAAATCATGTACTTTAAAACATGTTAATATATTTTTTTATTCTAAATAACAATCACTTTGTTTTGATAAATTTCAATGGTAACTTTTAAATAATTTATTGTTTTATTTTTTTCTAAATAATTTACTGATTAAAAAAATGTAAAGCAAAACCAAAAATTATATAAATTTTGGTGAACTGATTTTATATCAAAATATTTTTTAAACTAAGACAAAACCCAATTATATAAATTTTTAATCATAAAAAATTTTCGCGCTTTTAAGCGCGGGTCAAAATCTAATATCTACTTAAACAAGTTGTCAAGATATAGTTCCACCTCAATATACACAACCAGTTTTGTAACTCAGTTTTGTTATATGTTCTCTGCGAGATGATAATGTAAATGCCCTTTGGAGAAATTTCTGCTATACGTGCTCATAAGTTCAGAGAGATTTTTTGAAACATATCCGATTGTTACCTGAACTTCACCTTTTAACTTAGTTTAAACTTATGAATCTTGTGATAACGGTAGCATCAGCTAGAGGTATAAATGGCAAATTCCACTATAAACTTAACTCTTCCATTGTTTCCATACACAAATGTTTGAATCAAGCATAAAACATCATAAACTAATGAAAATTTTGATATTCCTACACAAATTTTTCAATGTGGTTATTCACACATAACCAAAATGAATTTTGATTTAATTGTTGATTATTGCTGATGTGGCTTGACTATTACTGATGTGGCTTACCACATCTGAAACCGGTTTAGTTTGCATTGACATATCGTAACTCGGCCTAAGTTAACCAGCACATAAGTAACTTTGTTGTGTTTTTAGCAAGTAACAAAACGATGTAATTTCATCAATATTGATTTAAAAATAATATAGTTAAATATATTTTAAACCAAACTAAACCAGTTCATACATGGTAAGCCACGTCAGTAACTTTAGAACTTTCATTTAGTTCGTGATGTTTTATGTTTAATTCAAGCGTCCGTGTATAAAAACAATGGAAGAATTAAGCTTGTGTTGGAATTGGCCGTTTTCCAAAGCATCTCTGCAGAATCTGTGAGTTTTGTCATTCAGTTCCTCGTGTGTGATGTGTGCGGTATTGGTCGATTCCCAAGTTATCAAATACCCGTTTATGGTTTTATGGTCTTAGAGATCTTTGGTCTTACTTTTTGTAGTCCCTATAGAGATAATGACTTATAGTTGTTGATAATGACTTAGTTTGTACTTTGTATTTATCTACTTAACTCCTAATCCTAAGCTAGTTAAGATATTCTCTTGTATATATACTCATCGTCTTATGTCAATACAACACACACTTCATATTCATTATATGGTATCAGAGCAAAATCGATCTTATACCTAATATTTTTCGCTTCCGCAAACACTACATGTGATTGACTAATATATCGATCATGGAGACTTCTAGTTCTACTATGTCTTCTACCTCTGCTTCTACGTTCTCTACTCCTGCCGGTTCTACTCCTGCCGGTTCTACTAATACGTCTTCTACTAATACTGCCGGTCCTTATGCTCTACATCACTCCGATAATCCAGGTTCATTAATCACACATTTGATTCTTAAGGGGGACAACTACTCGGAATGGACAACCGAATTTTGGAACTCTCTACAAGCCAAACGGAAGATTGGTATTATTGATGGATCTATTCCAAAACCAGCAACGAATCTGGATCTCTCTCTATGGACTTCAGCTAACTCTATGATTGTTGGTTGGATAAGAACTTCCATCGACCCTACGGTTCGTTCTACTATTAGTCATGTACCTGATGCCTATCTACTCTGGGAATCTCTTAAGCGACGTTTCTCTGTTACAAACGGAGTTCGTAAGCATCTACTACAAGACGACATCACAAATTGTAAACAAAACGACAACACAGTTCTACAATATTATGGTCGTCTCTCTAAGCTGTGGGAAGAATTACAAAACTTCCAAACAACTCAGCCTTGTATGTGTACTGCTTCTACTACAATTGAGAAAGAAAAGAAAGAATCCAGAGTTCATAAGTTCTTATTTGGACTTGACGCATCTCGGTTTAGTTCAATTCGTTCTCAAATCATCGATGAAGACCCTCTACCTGATCTTAACTCGGTTTACTCTCGTGTTATACGAGCAGAACAGACCATTCTCACCACTCGGTCTTCTGAGTTAAAACAAGACATCATCGGTTTCTCTGTCAAAACAGACTCTACTTCTACACCAGCTACAACTACAACTCGGAACCGTGACCCAAACCGATTCTGCACTCACTGCAATCGCAAAGGACATGAGGCCTCTGAATGTTTTCCTCTTCATGGCTATCCTAACTGGTATAATGAGCAACAACAACAACGATCCTCACAGCCTTCCACCCAACGAGGTCGTGGTGGACGTTCAAACTACTCAGGACGAGGTCGTGGTCTTGCTTCTCGAACTACCATTGTCACGGCTAATGTTTCAGCTTCATCTGATCAAATAGCCTCACTCATCTCACTCCTCCAAAATCAACAATCTCAGCTTTCTACCGATAATATGTCTGGTAAAACTAAATCGGCAGATGTGATTATTGACACTGGTGCCTCTCATCATATGACCGATGATATAGAACTATTACATCACATACGTGATATACGTGATATACTTCATTTTCTATAAAGTTCCCGAATGGTCGTGCTTTTAGGGCAACACAATCGGGAACACTACGACTTAGCCCCGATTACTCTCTATTTGATGTTCTCTATGTTCCTGATTTTGATTGCACCTTGATCTCAGTCTCTAAACTCCTCAGACAGACGGGTTGTATTGCTATCTTTACTGATACTCTATGTGTTTTACAGGACCGTTTTACGAGGACCCTGATTGGAGCAGGTTAAGAAAGAGAAGGTGTGTATTACTTCAAGGGTGTCACAGTTGCTCGAGCTCATCGTACTGGCACAGATAAATCGTCTTCGGCAGTCCTTTGGCACCGCATACTGGGTCATCCATCTTATCAAGTGTTGTCTTCTTTACCGGTTTTAGATAGTTTTCAGTTTGATTTTGATCACACGAGCCCATGTGATATTTTTTTCGTGTCAAGCAAACTCGTGACAGTTTTAAAGAAAGTCTTAATAAAGCTTTAGAACCTTTTGCACTTATTCATTGTGATGTTTGGGGTCCGTATCGTACTCTTGCCTCCTGCAGCGCTGTTTATTTCTTAACCATTGTTGATTATTTTTCAGGAGCAGTATGGGTTCATTTGATGCTTGAAAAATCTGAGGTTACGAGTTTGATACAAAATTTCTGCACCATGAGTGTTCGTCAGTTTGGAAAACAAGTCAAGACTATTCGAACCGATAATGGTACTGAATTCATGGTTCTTAAAGCTTATTTTCGATCACAAGGCATCCATCTCCAGACGTCTTGCGTAGATACT